AAAGAGGGATCATCTTCCTTCACACTTGAGACCTGAAAAATATTCAACATCTTAAATTCCTGATGAATTCAGGGCAAATTGAGGGCACCTTGAAAGTACAAGTCTATTAATGAAACAGAACTTATTTACCCTGAAATGTACAGTCTGTGGAATGTATAACTTGTTGTAATACAAATATATCATACTGTATTTGGACAGAAAAACAAAAGGTACCTTTTATTTCACATCAACAGTCCTTTGCGGTTTTCTGTATTCAGGCTCCACTGTGCAAGAAGAAAATGTCACTGAATGACACCCTGAATTCATTACAAAGCCCTGATAGGGGCTCCCTGATAGGGAGACAACAAAAGGCAGAAATTAAAGTTCATTCTCATAGTGGATGAACCACATCAAGGACAGATATCATGGGCTCTGACTGAAAACAAACCTTCACTGATCCAAATGGAACAGAAGTGAGGAACATGGCTGAATCTACAGTGCAGGGCAAGCACATACCACAGTGCATCCAGCATCCCTCCTCTACAGTATAAGTCTGCATCATAATCATATCAATATAAATACAAACAAGGAAAAGTAATTGTCGTCTTAGTTGTGATATACTGCAGTACTAGGTAAAGCATTGTCTAGTATTGAAACAAGAAATTTTAGATTACTTCAGTGCAAGAGCATTGGACTCAAAGCCAGCATACAAATTAACAAATTAAAAGCACAGGAGTGATACTGAATATGTCTCATTTGATTTTCTGAATTGAAAGCTACTGTTCATGTCCAGGATGATAATTTCAGAGTCAGTGTGTGTTCTCCCACTGAAATGGCTTGTATAAGAAGTGTTAGGACTAAATAAATAAACAAACCTTAGCTTATTCTGACTGCTAAAAACAGAAAAAAGTATCTATCTGAAATTAAAGACACTTTTGACATACCTCACTGAATCTATCCATCCTCTTTCCTTCTCGCAACACAAATGCCCCAGGAACATTTGAACAAGAGATTAAAAACAAAGACAGACCTAAATCTATCCTGAATATGTGCTGTCACTCCCTACACTCCTTAGGGAATCACTGTAACACTTGGGAAACCTGCTCCACCACAGTCTTCCTTTTGACCCTAAGCAAATCACTTGGTCCCAGATTCAAGAAGCATTTTGCAACCCAGTTCCTCATGAAATGAATGGAAGTCAGGTGTCTAAAAGTACATTTTGTGAATGGGGACCTGAGTCCCTCTGTAACTTAGGAACCAGCAGACTGGAGCCTTTGAGACCTCCCTGTCTAAAAGGGTTACACGGTATGGCAGAGCAAATAATTTAAAACCTGTTTTGCACTCAGAGAGGATAGTTGTGGTAGGAGCACGGATTTACCAGACAGGCTAAAAACTTCCCAGTACCCTCTCCTGCCCCACCAGGTACTGCCCGCCGTAAAGAGTATCTCCCCAGCTGCACGATGCAGTAGCAGCAGTCAATCCACGACGCAGCTGCTGCTGCTCCTGCCATCACAGAGTACCTGGAATAGACACAAGGTGTGAAGTACCTCTCTTGCAGCTGCAGATCGGTTCAACCAATTTGCCCCCAATTTGTTTGCAATGGCAATACCACAAATGCAGAAGTGAAGGAAAAGAATAAAATTTTTACTTACCTACTTTCCCTCAATTAGAATATTTTATCAGACTTTGACATGTAATTTAAGATTTCTCTTCTTTCCTTCTTATATACTTATGTATTTATTTTCCAAAGGACCTATTGCAGAAAAAGGTCTCAAGGTACGTCATAATTTTACAGAAAAGGATTAAAAATAAAAATTAATTCAACCATCTCAGTACACAATGCTTTAATGAGTTTTCCTTCAGAATTAATGTCATCAGTGTTCTGAACACACAGACAGTATGGTAGCAATATGTAAAGTTTCATGTTTGTACCTGGTTGCCAGGTACAAAACATTTATGCACTTTAACCCAGAATTAATTTGTCAACTTTTTTTTCCACATTAGATGATCTCTGCAGAAATGAAGGAATGTTCTTTTTTTTTTAAATTGCCAATTTTTCCACAAGCACTTGTTTCAAACGCAAGTGTGCAAATATGGTAAATCTATAAACTAGATTTTATTCACTGCAAAATCAGAAGCATTTGATCATTCAGTTATAGCAACAGGAAAATGCATACTCTGTACCATGTCTACACATGTTATGAACTGTCATTTACATTGATTTAATGATAAGAAAAAGATGTAACCTATATGAGGGGTATTATAGATTTTTTTTTTATTCTTTGCTTTTATTTGTTACGGTCTCATGTCTATTAATCAAAAAAAAAAGTAGGCCTGTATTTATAACTGGACAGAATGACAGGAAGAAGTAATAAGGAACCAGTAAGAAACAGTTAGAGGAAGCTAGTGACATAGTCTAAAGCACCATGGATAGTTCATATTTAATTTGATGACTATCAATAAAGTGTAAAGCTTATGCTAAAAATTAATTTATACTCATAATTAGTTTTACAAGTCCGGGATCACCAGAAAGGCACATTTCACTTTTCAGTGCTGTGCAGGTAAGACTTTCCATGAACTAGTTACACATGGAATAGGCTTTCTGATTTTTGCTGGTTTTCCATAGTGCATTTATCCTACATTTATCCAAATATGAAGAGGAAGCATTTCATATTTTTGGGTAGTTTAGCACTGATTTTTTCATATCCCAAGTCAAATGACTCTCAACACCTGAACGCATACTTGACAGGAACCTTCCATGTCAGGAGTTACAAGATAATGATCCTTTATTCAAGGTCATGGCCTGACCCCAAACTCTCTGCACACCAGTATTACGCAAAATCATTTTCACATTCCAAAGCTATTTGAAAAGTTTTACTGACTGAAAATGCACTCAAATCCCATTTTTTAAGACCACAAGAAGTCCATAATGCCTATTAGTATCCCCAAACACCAAGAACACTGATGTCATGAATTAGATGTAATCATGATAGCAGTGGGTTTCTCACTCCCTTGATCTCCCAAATTTATTCTGCATTACATGGTCTCTACACAAAAAAACCATGTAAGCAGAAGAATTCTCCTTCAAATACAAACAAATTACAGTTTCCATCAAATGAAATTGGCCTCTTGTGTAATCATTCCGAAAAAGCTTCACTGAACACTAAAAAACTTCACCAAGAACTCCTTAACAGTGTGACACAACACTTCTTTTGATACAAGTTTCAGCATCCAGGCTGAAATTTTCAAGAAATCAATGTAACATCAGAAAACTCCATGACTAATAAAAAAAATTATGGATCTCTGAAGTCAGGGATTAAATCCAATACTTCAGCTGGCAAAACTCTCTCCTTATGAGTCTGGCCTTGGCACTTAAGATTACTATAAAAAGACTTACGAATTTCTTTAAATAAGTGCCAGCATACGGTTAAGCATCAGCCTATATTTGAAATCTGATTTGATGCTGCTGTGATTCCATGAATTCTAATGGAACTCCTCCAAATTTTTTCACCACTGCAAGTGAACCTGGAATATCAAAGTATCTCATTTTGCATTATTTTTAGCAGAAATGTATGTCAATGTGAAATCATTTGAACTACATTAGTAGAACTAAAATGATCCCTAGTGTAACTCCATTCACGTCAGTTACATCAGGAATGCATTTCAGCACTATAATTTAAAATGTAAAATGCCCATGTGATGATAAAATTATTCTTCTGAGAGTTGTCAGTATCCAGTAACACTGGGAAAGCTCTGACAGAAGCAGTAGTAGTAATCTGGAGCCATAACAGCTCAAACGCAGGGTTTCTCTGGCACACAATTTCAACCAAAGTAATACTCAATGGAAATTTCTGTTTCCTGTTAAGCACTTGGGATCTTTGGGTTTTAGCATGTTAGGGGTAGGATTTTGGCATTTTCAAGCTGTGTTGTAACTGACTGGACCGATGGGCAGTTGAATAATCAAATTATAAGCCAGCCCAAGTAAAGGTATTTGCTTCCATTCTAGAATGCACAATTCTTTTTGTGATTCAGAATGCTCTGCCAAACTGATAGCATAATCTAACATTAAGCTATAGCAGTTCTTATTTATAATGACAAAGCACACAGGTTTATTCACTGCAGGAGGCAGAGCAGGCTCCACTGTTACCTTAGGAAATGCCTCCACAGTACTGCAGTACGTAGTGCCGACACACCCAGAATGATGCTCTTCCAACTGCTATGAGGCCCTACAGTCAGACCTTTTCCTACAGACAGTACGGTACTGCTATGATCACAGCATAAGGTGGACATTGCCACGCTTGTTTTAAATTAAAATGTTGTGTACTGGCAGCAGAACGATTTCCTGGAGAAGCTGGGTTAAGCAGTTACCTCAAGCCAAGTTGCATGTCCATGCTGTGAACATAAGGTAAGAGTTATTCAAAGAATTTTCTTCCTCCTTTCCGTTACACATCTAAAATTCCACCTCTTATGAACCACTTCCCCTTTCAACCAGCCAATACTGCAAACATGTACTACTTATTTTCTCTAAGTTTTTTATTTACCTAGTTAGTATTTCTTCTACATTCTTGCCATGGTCCCCGGTATTATATGGTCTCTGGTGTTATACAGAACTACTAGCAAACTAGCTTACAAGAGAATCCTTATGCTTTTTACATCATTAACTACTAGCTGTTAAAGAAACACTTTCAGTTACAGATTTTTACCAATTTTACAGAATGCTCATCCTCACTGCTGATATTGCCCCTGTAGAAAAAAGTATTTAGTACACTTAACTCAGGTGAGCTACAACAAAATGCAATATTCAATTTTGGGAAATGCCAATGTATAAAATTACTGAATTGTTTCACTCAAAACATAGTTGGAATTAATACCACCACACTAAAAAGGAGCTTTGTTTAATGCTTCACATCAAAAATACAGTGAAGACTGCTCCATGATTTTAAATTAGGAATCAGACATTTAAACAGAAGTTTTGAACCAGGGCTCAGCACAACGCAGTCTTTTGTGTGTCTCTTGGATTTTATTAGTTCTGCAATGCAAAAGAGGACAAGCAGAGAAACTTTTCAAAGAGGCGATTCACAGAAAATCCATGAAGGCAAAAATCAACCAGTAAAGAAAAACCTACGTCTATGGCTCTGTTCAGTAATACTGGGTGCTGCATACAGCAAATTATGCTTACCTGACAGACTATGCATAATGTCATGGGTGCCCAATTTGGACTGCTTTTATTGTCGCTTTTCAGCTCTAGAACTACAAGTCAGTCACTAACTAGTTCTCCAGCCGCAAAAATCCTCCACTCAGCTTTAAATGAATATTGCAAAAGTACTGCAAGTCAGTAGTGTTGGTAAGCCCCTTTTTCTCTCATAACGGCCTGTCCTAGCCCTTAAAGTGCATATGCCAATTTGGTTCAAGTTTTATAATCTGGAATGTTCCATAGTGCCTCTTCAAAAACCGTTCCAGTTTAATTGTGCCTTCCCTAGGTAATCATAAATCTGAAAAAAATGCCTGTTCTGAATCTATTATTTATGATATATGCAGCAATACCTTACCTATTTCATTCTGCAGTCTGGAATGTACTGTAGGTCAGATAATCTTTACCTACCTTAATCTCCTAGGAAGGGCTATGGAAGTTTTTGACACACAGTAAAATACAGCTGGCCTAAGAATCAGTGAAAAGAAATCATGGAATGTTTTCTCAAGGACTGCATGGGACCCAACATGCTCATTTTGAATCCCAGAATGCCTATTTTGGATTTTAAATGTTGCTTCAAATACGCATGGGTGAAAGCTGTAATTAAGGGAAAACGCAGCACCAATAATAGCATGTTAAAAGTTAGCAATTCTCAATTGTCAGTACTGTAACAACTTAATATCTTATTACTTCTACCTTCTCCTCCCATGCATTGAATTTCTTCAATACTGACAAAGTGCATGTACTAATCATAGACTCTGAATGTTAAACTAACCAGGAAAAAATATAAATTAGGTTGGTATTTCTTGAGGGCATCAGTAGAAAACACTGATTTCAAATAATTTTGATTACAAAATTTTACTTCACAATCCTTTTCCAGATCACAGATATTCATAATTAAAAGAGTATGGAATTAATGTAATGTTAGCTGTTTCGCCATCAGCATCACATAAAGAAAAAAGAAACAATAAAATATGATGCAGAATTCACCCTTCCAATGATTGTCATTGAACTATTACATTAGTAAACATTCACAGTATGAAGTCTCTTTCAATATATCTCCAGCATATAAAGTAGTGCAAAAAAGCATTCCAGTCATTTTGCCTTTGCAGTCAGACCAGGTTAAATGATTTTCTTACCTCATTTCTTTCATTATTAGACAACAAACGCTGCAATGCCTCCAAAGAGAGTTATAAAAATAAACAATTTCTGGAGGGTCAGCAGCCTTTTCAAAGTAAATTTCCAGTTAAAAACAAGCATTATAGATTTCAAGAAAAAAATTTAGAACTATCTTCTGTAGAATATCTTTTTACAATAAATTTACCATTTGAAAAACAATGACTATGGTATCCAATGATTTATGGTAGCTGTTATTAAAGCACTGATAAATAGATAAATGACTACCAAACTTCATTGCTTCTTACATAGTAAATACCTCTGAATGCCAACTTCTACCACAGAGCTGTTATTAGTGATGTCGACAGTTCATGCACCCACTTTAAAACTGACTTGGTTTTAATAAATTTTTCAGCCTCGTGCAAAACACTTGCATTCTAATAAAAATATAAAGTCTGAAATGATATCAGATCTAGCAATCCCTTCCTCAAGTTGTACCACTTACTTGATATGTAATACAAGTTTAGCAATGCTTTTTATTTGTATTTAACCATTAAATGGCATACTACTGTATGCTGTGGACTCCTGTTTGCATATTTCATCATTTTCACTGCACTCTTTAATGCATAAATATATTTGGAAACGTTCAAATTTACACATCAGTTTCCACAGAATTTGAATTTACACAGTTTTTCTTCTCTGACTCACTGCTATTCCCCGTGTCCTGACTTTTTTTCTCCTTTACACAAAGAGATTCTTTAACTCCTTCTTCCATCTCCAAATATTCTGATTTATCCTCTGTGGATGAAGATGATGAGCTTCTAAATTTCTTCAGTAAATTTGTTGGGAGGTAAGGGCAACTGACTGCATTTTGCATCAGCTGCGTTTGTTCTTCATTCTCAGTCTCTCTGTGGTAGAAATAGTTAAAATTGGAGACAATCACTGGCACTGGTAAAGCAATGGTTAACACTCCCGCAATGGCACACAGGGACCCAACTATTTTCCCACCCACAGTTATGGGTTTCATATCCCCATAACCAACTGTAGTCATGGTCACTACAGCCCACCAAAAGGCATCCGGGATGCTTTGAAAATGGGTGGCAGGCTCATCAGCTTCTGCGAAGTAAACAGCACTGGAAAACAAAATGACTCCAATAAAAAGAAAAAAGATGAGGAGGCCAAGTTCCCTCATGCTGGCCCTGAGTGTATGACCCAGGATCTGCAAACCCTTGGAGTGCCTGGAGAGCTTGAAGATGCGAAACACCCTGACCAGACGGATGATCCTCAGGATGGCAAAAGACATGGCCTGTTGACCATTACTGCCCTGCTCCTGTGCCAAGTCAGTGCCCAGAGTAATGAAGTAAGGCAAGATGGAGACAATATCTATGATGTTCATGATGTTCTTGAAGAAGTGTGCTTTGCTTGGACATGCAAAGCAGCGCACTGTAAACTCAAATGAGAACCAAATGATGCATACTGTCTCTACAATGAAAAAAGGGTCATTGAAGATGGTGTGCTCCCCAGCATCCAGGTGAAGTGACTCATTGGAAGGCCCCTTCCCTAAGCTCAGGGACATGATGAATTCTTTGTCATCTCTGAACTCTGGCAAAGTCTCCAGACAAAAGATGACGATGGAGATCAAGATGACCAAGACAGAGACAATGGCAATGCCTCTGGCTGGACTGGAGCTCTCCGGGTACTCAAATAGCAGCCAAACCTGCCTCTTAAACTCATTCTCTGGCAAAGCTTTGTCCTCTTCCTCTTTGACAAACCCTTCATCCTCCCTAAACTTGAGCATGGCCTCCTCCCCAAGTTGGTAGAATTTCACCTCCTCAGTGAAGATGTCAAAGGGTACATTGACTGGCCTCTTCAGCCGACCACCACTCTGGTAGTAGTACAGGATGGCATCAAAGCTGGGCCGGTTCCTATCAAAGAAGTATTCGTTCCTCAGAGGGTCAAAGTACCTCCCTCGCTTTGCTGGATCACCCAACAACGTCTCCGGGAACTGAGCTAATGTCTTCAGTTGGGTCTCAAACCGCAGTCCTGACACGTTGATTACCACACGCTCACAACACTCGTACTCACTGTAGCGAACAGAGCTGTAACCCCCAGGGCCTCCACCATCATCAGGTGGCTGGTCCGAGTACGAAAACTCATCCTCCCCATAGTCATCACTGTAGTAGAGCTTTCCTTCTTCCTCATCGTCTTCATCCTCATCTTCATCCTCCTCTTCCTCCTCACTCAAGTCCTTCAGTATTCTCTCTTCAGAACCACTGAGAGGCAGCAGCTCAGAACAGGGGAAGGAGGCCCCACACTCCCTACTTCCCAAGTGGTGGCTCCTCTTTTTCCCTTTCTTCCGCCTCTTACCGCTCTGGCGGTGGGGCATGCTGCTGCGTGATGCATTCCCACCATGAGAGGAGGATGCACCTCGACTCTGTTCCTGATGGTAGTGGTGATAAGGTCCACCTCCACCCGTTGCCCCACCTTCTACTGCCGCTGTTGCTGCTGCTACGGCCGCAGCCGCGGCGGCTCTCGAGTGCGCCAGCCGCTCTCTCTCTCGGGCCCGAGCTTGGACTGCATATCCATAGGGCATGTGGCTGTTGCACCCAGAGCTATCGGCACTCACCATTGCAACCTCCATTTTGCAACTGCTTTTTTTTAAATCGCTTACTGCAAAAAGGGTTTGTTTTATTTACAGCGTAACCTTAACTTTCCCTAGAAAGGTCAAAGCCATTTGCATTTGGAGGACCGTCTCAGACACAGAGCAGGGCAACACAGTTGTAACACTGCATCTACATTTTGGAAAACCACAGATTTGCATTTTCTTATTGTCTGTCTGGAACGTTTGACACAAACTACTGTTTTGCTAATAAGAAAAGGTGAAACTCTCAGATTGAACCAGGGAACAGCTGAGACCTTGTTCTTTCATCCACCAAGCCCCTTTATGTTCATTTATCTCCTGTGGCTATCACAGATTTGATCAGAATCATGACTATCTTGCAGGTTACAAAGACTGCATTCGTGATGAAAAAAACATGCAAATCAAAGGGTACCTGCTCTCCACAAATTGTTTTAGTTCATCATTGCAACCAAATGCAGATAGTCTTTTTCCTCATAATTTGTTCCTTGTAATGCTTTGGCCTAGCAATCTTATTGTTTAATACCATTACTTGGGGAGTTGAAGTTAATTCCAGCCATCACTTTATTTACACAGTGAGGAGGTCTTTTGCAAATCCTTTCTTCAGCCTGTCAACAATGTCTCAAACCTGGGAGCAGCACCCAGGGTGTCAGCAGCAGTGGTAAGAGGAGGAGGAGGAGGAGGAGGAGATGAAGACTGAGAAACTGGCTCTGAGGTCCCCATAGGACATAAGGGAGTGGATGGATCACCCTTTGGTTATGGTCATGCAGAAGAAGCACTTAACCTGAGGCACATGCACAAACACACAAAAATAAACAAAACAAAAAGGGAAAAGATTGGATTGTTTTCCTAAAAGGTCACACTGATCAAATGAAACTGTGTCATCTATTACCACAGTATTCAAATCTTCCCATACCCACACTATTCACACTTCTACATTACACACACACCCACATCACATGCACAGAGATTTTGAACGACTCTGTGGGTAAGGATGTGGGTGGGTATGTCACATATATATAGACAGAGATACAAAATCCCCACCCATATAAGCACTTGCATCCATACACAAACATATGCATGCTTCTGAAACACCAACACATATAAACACTAATAAAAATACTGCAATACTCAGTGCATTCAGATCTTTGAGTACATACACAATAGATACACCTACATATATCTATATGAAATATTAAAGAATAAATGTATCTACACAAAGAGCTTTTGTTATATTTGTAGAAACACATGAGATG